TTCCTGAGCACTCCAGGCCACACCCACATGTGATCTGGGCTGACTGAGGCTGGGGAGTGGATCACAGCGTAAAGACCCTTTTCAGGATGCTTTTTTCTCTCTCTGTCTCTTTCTCTTACAAAAGAAATAAATAAGCAAACTTTAAAAATGTAAAATAAAACAGTTTCTAAAAATAAATGAAAACATATTTCCACCCAAAGACAAAACTGTCCATAATATTTACACAAATGTCCACGGCATTATTCATCATAACCCCAAACTGGTAACAATCCTAATATCTGTCATCTTATGAATGAATAAACAAAATGTCACTGTATATCCATAGATGGGAATACACTCGACAATAAAAATGAGCTACAGATAACATGTACAATACAGAGGAACCGAGAAAACTTCATGCTCATCGAAAGAAACCATGTACAAAAGACTATATACAGTAGAATTCCCTTTAAATATAATTCATTGTAAGGGTTAAACTATAAAAACAGAAAGCAACCTATGTTTGCCTGGGATAGGGAATGGGAGTTAAGTGAAAAGGTGCAGAAGAAAACTTTTGGAGGTAACTGAGGTGTTCAATAACCAGACTGTATAAAGAATAAATTTATATCAAAATGGATGAACCGTATAATAAATTTTACCTCAACAAATATTTTAAAATAAAAAGGCCAAACAAATATTCATGAATATATACCATACATACCACATCTTAATAAAATAGCTCCACTGATATGCAGTTTACTAATGAAGAGTTCATCCTAATTAGAAAACCTATGCCATGCATTCCTGTATTAGTAAGTCCTTAACCCATCTTCAGGACTCCTTTAACACTCTTTAGAAGAACTGAGAATTCAAAAGAACTTTCGTTTATGTGATTATTATCAATATTTACTAAAAATTTAAATAAAAAATTTAAAAAGGTTTAGTCTGGGCCAGCAGATGGCGTAGTGGTTATGTTGCTGGACTCCCAAATGGCTGACCATAGTTTGAGTTCCAGACCTGGTGGCTTGAAAATCATGCTGGGCACATGTGCATGTGTGCCCAAGATCCCAGGAAGAGAATGGAAGAGAAGGAAGAGAAGGGATTGTTGCATGGTCACGCACCTGGGGGGTAACTTCTTACTTTCCCTTTTACTGTCTTTGTCTCTCTCTCCATTGAGCACACATGCCCTAAGGCACAAAACTCTCAAAATAAATAAATAAAAGTTTTGCCAATTCAATTAAAAATAACAGTAGGTCTATATGTCATTAGAACATATTTCTTATGAAAAATATATTTTTATTTTCTAAGACAAAAAAAGTAGAGTAGCGACTTTTATTTTACATTTTTTGCAAATATTTTGTGTCTGGCTTAATATATAGAAGATAGCTGGATCTTCATCCCTCTTCCTACATTCAATCTATTGAAATAGAATGTATCTGGAAAGGTCCACTGTACATTCATAAGACAATGGGAGTGAAAAAAGGAAAATAAACTCTTAGTATTATTAGCAAAGTAGTTTTTATCTCACAGAGTCCTAAAAAAAATGGTCTTGGGGTCCCTAGAGATTCCTGGACCATTCTTTGAGAATAGCTGTCCTGGATTTTGCTCAGAAAACAACATGTTAATTTTGGTAAAATTGTTTAATCTATACTATCATTAATAGAGGATCAAACTTTCCAGAAAAATAGATCAGAAAACTTCCTGAATATTATTTTCAAAGCACTTTGGCTACCACATTGCATAGACCTGACTACAACTTATTTAAAGAAAGCAATAAAGGGACCAGCAAATGGTGTATGGTTACAGTGCTGGACTCTCACAAGGCTGACCGCAGATCAAATCCCGGACCTGATGGCTTCAAAATCAAGCCGGGTACATGTGCATGCATGCCCAGGATCCTGGGAGGACAATGGAGGAGAAAGGATTGTGGAGTGGCCATCCCCGGTGATTTCTCACTTTCCCTCTCACTGTCTCTCTCTGCAGTGAGCACAGCTATCCTAAGGCAAACAACTCTTAATTTTAAAAAAGGCAACATAAATGAGACATATGATGCTACATAAACATTTACTTACTGAGTCTTTAACATCGTTTTTGATTTATCACTAAGTAGAGTAAGTGAGACATTGCTGCATGTTATTTTAACACGTGCTTGTTGCAATGTTATTATCTAAAGTTTTCTCTCGTCACAGATTCAGAAGTTTCTGTTTCATACCCTTTCTATTTTTCCCATCATCTCTAGGATTATAAAATATTCCTTAGCTTTTTCTTTTTATTTTTTTAAGAGAGATTTTTGGTATAGGCACATGCACTCGCCAGAGAGACAGAGAGAAAGCCAAAAATCACCCCCCAGGGAGGATGGCCATACCACAATTCTTTCTCCTCCATTCTCCTCTCAGGATTTAGGACATACACACGCACACGTGCCCAGAGTTAGTTTTACGCAGCCGGGTCCAGGACTCAAACTGTGGTTGACTGTGGAAGTCCAGCAACATAACCATTATACTGTCTGCTGATCCCTATATTCCTTCGTTTCTACATTTGCTACTGAAATACTCTAGAATTTTTCTAAAGTACATACTGACATCATTATTTTAAAATCATCAAGCCTAGTTTGTCAATGTCTGAAAAAAAAAAAAAAGATGTAATGGTCATTCCAGAGCATGTAGTTCGCTTTGGTTTAATTAGTACTTATATCTCCTATGATTCACAATTAAAGCATAATAATGTGATTAGTAAGTTTACAATACTTTAGATCCTGAGCTGGTTAATGATGCTCACCAAAGATGTAGCAGCTCACTTGGAAGGTCTCCAAACTTTGGCTATCTTTGAATGAGATGTACTTCCTATGTTATGTGATATAAAAAGTATAGATACTTAAAATTTGAACTCGAAGTCAAGTTTATATACTTACCTTACAATATCTCCTTCAAGAGCAATCACTCTCTTAATGATCTTCTGCTCAGGGTTTTTAGGAGACCTAGGATCATAAAATAAGGTCTTACATTAATTAGGTCTCTGTTGTTTTAAGAAATTTTTTTTAAAAAATGACTCCTAAAACAAAACAAGCTATACTAAAGTTGCCAAAGAATCCTTTCCACCCGTGACATGACATCATTCCTACTTAGGTCTCAAGTGATGTGAAGCTATTACTGAAAGTAATTTTCATTTGAACCTTTGTGAGAGAAGAGGCCATGCTAAAACTTCACAAAAATAAGGGATGCAGAGAGTTAAAGAGTTGTATTATTAAGAAATGACTTTATTTTTAAATTTTACTATTATTACTATCAAAGATAAGTACTTATAGAAAAGAGAATTCATAACAAAATGATTAGGCATTTCTTTAAAATGATAGCATATCAAAGCTTTATTTTTAAAATTCTATTTATGTTTCATAATTGTACATGTCTACAGAGCACAATATGGTTTTTCAAAGTATTCAAATAGTACATGACAATAAAATCAAGGATATTACCACATAGAACATTTTCAATAGAGAACTTTACATTATTCTTTTGTCTAAAGTTTTCAAAAATTTCATTTAAAATCAACAGAAGATTGTTTTAAGTCCTCAGAAAGCACTAAGGATGAGAGAGCACTTTTTATTTTGTTTTGTTCTTTAAATTAAAAATTAGAGAATTCTTTTTTTCCCCTTTTTTAAAGTTTTTTGCCATAGGGCAAGTGTGCTCACTGGAAAGAGACAGAGAGAGAGAGAGAGAGACAGACAGACAATGAGAGGGAAAGTAAGAAATCATCTCCCATTGCCATGTGGCAATCCCTTCTCCTCCTTTATCCTCCTGCAATTTTGGGTAGGCACATAAGCACATGCTACCAGTGGAATTTTCAAGCCTCCACTTCTGGAATTCGAACCATGGATTGGCATGTGGAAGTCCAACACCTTAACCACCATGCCACCTGCTGGCCCTAGAGAACTCTTCTAAAATATACTTAGGTTTGGTGAAATATATTTAGGTTTGGTGAAATATACTTAGGTTTGGTGGTGGTTAAGATGCTAGACTCCCACATGGCCAACAGCAATTTGAACCCAGACATAGTAGCTTGTTTTCTTACTCTCTCTCACTCCCTCTCTCTCTCTTTCTATCATGGGCACACATGTGCTATAGCTAATTTTGAAAAATGATAATAATAACAATAAATAAAATTTTAAAAAGACATGTATTTTCAAAATATATACATATATGTGTGCATGTACACAAACATATATACATATGTATACTATATACATACGCACATATATTATATATACTATATATATAATATACACATGTGTTTGTGTATGTGTATACACACACACACACACACACACACCGCCCTGGATGAATGTGCATGTATGCCTAGGGTCCTGAAATGAGGAAGAAAAGGAAGAAAAAGGATTGCAGCATGACTATTTCCCAGGGGACAGTTTCTTACTTTCCTTCTCCCTCTGTCACTCTCTGGTAAGTGCATATGTCACCTAGCAAATTAAAAGAAAGAAATGCATATCATGTACAATGACTTTCTGTAAGGGATGATTAAGATTTTGCATTTTCTTTAAGATAATTTTACTTCTAGGAATTTACCCTAATAAAATGATAATGGATATATACAACATTTTAGCTAAATTGATGTTGTTACCTTAAAAAAAGAAATTAAAAAAAAAAAAAAAAAAAAGGAGCAGCCCATGGGCTAGTGGCTAAGGCAGCTGGATACTACATGGCTAACTCCACAGTTGAAGTCTGAACCTGGCGACTTGATAAACAAGTGAGGCACATGTGCGTGAGTGCCCAAAATCTCAAAAGGAGGGAGAAATGGAGAAAAGATTGTAGTATGACCATGCCCCAAAGAGGATGCTTTTTATTTTCTTTTCCTCTTTCTTTCTCTGTCTCCCTCTATGCATGCGTGATTCCTCTGACAAAGTGAAAACAAAAAATAAAAGAGAGAAAAAATTTAATGAGTGGAGATTGCTTAAATAAATTACAGTCCACACACAAAATGAAATTAATCTGTAATAATTTTAAATGGTGCTATTTTAGCACAGCTATTGTGCTGAATGCTGCTCTGCTGTACTGCACAACCTGGGATGACCTGTGGGCCCAGGTTCAATGGCCAGTCCAGCCTAAAGCCTGGGGGCTGCAGCATGGACCTGTAATCCCAGCTACTAGGGAGGCTGAGGTGGGGATCACAAGCTCAGTGTTAGGCTGAGCCATAAAGCATATGTGTGTGTGTACACACACACACTTATTCACAGTACATTCTAAAAGCATGTACTCTCTTCTTATTCACAGTACATTCTAAAGCAAGATCCTATTCCTGCCCCCCCACCCCCACTCCCCCAAAATAAGCCAGACACTAAGTGTGCAAGCCTGTGATCTGTGATTCCATCTTAACTGGCAGGATGAGGCTAGGAGATCAGGGCAGTCAGACATTACGTTAAAATTTTAAAAATGTTGTAGGAGAATATTTAATGATGAAAATATCGACAGGGTGGATATATTAAAAATGCAAATTAGAAAATATTGTGCTATGACTTCACATCTGTAATAACAGAAGTAAAATGTGCATACAATTTTATCTGTAATGAGTCAGAAAGATCCTGAAACAAAAGAAAAAAGTTCTGTGCATATTAAAAACTTTTATGACCAGATCTTTGGTCCAGAGTCCTGGGATACCCTGTAGCAGATGACAATTGTCTTGTCATGTGACATTATCTGAGAAGAAATGCTCCAAGACAGAGAGAGATAAGGCCTGAACTGATTACCAAGATCCCTACCTAATACCAAGGTGGGATTAACATTAACGATATGATATGCAAAGCAACCCCTATCAGCATAAAAACATATTTTATGCCAAAAATCTTTAAGCTTTCAAGATGCTCGAAAAATATTTTATATTTTAAATAATCTATATTTTAAGGTCGTGAATTAGAATATGCAAAGTGAACTATCTATATCATTAAAGTCTTATGAATTGCTGCTTCAAACATATCTATAAATTTTAATATAATATTAAACTCATGAATCTAATCAAATAATTCAAAATAAAAAAGCTATTACTAACATTAATTCCATTACTGCTTAAAATCTATATCTATATTTTTATCATTAGGCTGTTGAATGCATTACTTTGATGTAAGTAGAAGTGGTAGGAGAGTCATTACAGATTTACATCATGAAAGTTATTAAACTGCTCTTTGTCTTAATTTTCTTGGCTACTTGCCTATCTCCTGGAAAATGTGAAGAATATCAAGGATTATGCCTTACTTTAAAAAAAAATAATGTATGCTGCTCATAAATACTCAAATTTTCATTTAAACTTATAACTCTAGTGTTTCGTAATAAGAAATGCATTACATATTTATTCCTGGGATCTGGATTTTAAACATTCTTTTTATGTTTATGATTTAATTAGGTGGGACTTCTCTAGCTGCTTGGACAGACAGCCTAGAATTGTCTTCATACTTCACAGGTCTGAGCAGATTGTATGGTACAACAGAGGATGTCTAACCAGAATGGTTGTGGGCAGGGAGTCGAGACTAGTGTAGATGTGATAGGATTTCCTTAAAATGATGCTCTTTTGAATTTCAATTCCTATCTTGATAGAAATATCGCCAATTTTGCTCTTCGATAGGTCAAACAGAGTCATGCCTTAGGTCTCTTTAATTTCAGCAACTGATTTCACATTCTTTTATGTTCCCAAAGGTCTTAATTGTGTCTAGAGCACTGAAAAGATATTTTGGGATACTCAAGAGAGAACCTTTGTGTTTTGTGAGGATGGAAAGAATAGCATTGTCTTACCCTCTGTGTTCCTGGCCCCATGCAGATACAGAGGTCACACAGATTCATAGGGAGTACGTGAACTCACCAGAAAGAGACAGAGACAGAGAGGAAAAGTGAGAAAGCACTCTTTGGGGTATGGGTGACAGCCATGCCACAATCCCTTGTCTCCATTTTCCTCTCATATTTGGGTACTCATGCACATGTTCCCAGTGTGCTTCTCAAACCTCCGAGTTCAAGATTGGAACTATGTAGTCGGCCATGTGGAATGCCCCTGCCACTAACCACCATGTCATCCAATGACCCAACCCTTCTTTGGTCTAGACCCCCTCTTCTTATTTATAGTACATTCTAAAACTGCCTTCTATAACATGGGGAGATTTTTTTTTTAACTTGGCTCAAGATTGACCCAAATTATCAGAGAATTAATCTCAGATTATAAGTCACTTAAACCACAGTGTAATTTAACCTATCAAAAATACTACTGTCTACCGGACACTATCTTGCACGTATCTCAGTGAGTTTAAATCTTAATGATTCATTAATGAAGTGCAAGTAAGAACTTGTATTCTGGGCATGCCTTATATGAAATAGGTTGCACTCCACTGTCCTAAAGCATGATCATGCATTAAACCATATAACTTTACATGATCATAATTTTTAAAATATAGGTTTTGCCGTTATTTTAATCATCAAAATTAAGAAGTAGAATGAAAAGTCAATAAGTTATTATCATAGAAAGTTTTCTCTTTGAAACCCCTCCTTTCTCTCTTAAATTTTGGAAAACGTTGCTAGGGTTTGACATTGTACTCATAGTTAGAAATCAGGAAAGATTTAGGGATATACATCTAGCCCTTTCTCTGATAGTTTAGCCCATTCTCCATGACCTAAGTTCTCCGCTCAGTGACATGTGAGGGTCTCCCTTGCGCTTTGCAAATGCATGGTCTAAAGTGAGAGATGGAAATGGAATTTGCTGTTAGTGTTCCACCTCTTCTCTAAGTGACCGGCTGACAGTAGGCAAGCTACGTAACCAATCTTTGTCTCCTTTTTAGGTGATAAGGTTAGAGCAGAGGACCTAAAAGAAAATAATCAAATATAGCTTGTAGAAATGTTTTGATTGGTTCATGCATTTTTTAAGGGAGATTTTTGATATACGATGCAAGTGCTCACCAGAGTGACACAAAGAGACAGAGAGACAGAAAGCAAG